GTTTCGGTGCCTCTTGTACCCCTAACCCAGACTGCAGAACCGGCACTAAATTGGGTTAGCCTGCTTAAGGAGGCTCCAGGCGTCATGCCGGTGAAAGTAGCAGTGGTGGTGGGGGTGGTCACAATTAATTACAGACTTCTGGCTTTGCGTCTAATTAGTTCATAGTGAACTGTGGAGGAATAACTGCAACCAGTTCGCTTTGAACAAAGGAGAAGCGATTGCCGGTGCGGAGGTGGAAGGGCATTCGGGATTGCTGGCTCCCTCGCGGCTGATCAGCCGGGGACTGACTCTGCCTCACGTGGTTAGTTTCCAGCTGCGGATGTCTCCACCCTGAGCGAAGCCGTGCCCGGTGAGAGCCCGTCCGCGGGCATCCAGACCAGCCTGCTGTCTCCTCTCCTCTCCGAGACCGAATCGCCCTTCGATCTGGAGCAGCAGTGGCAGGACCTCATGTCGATCATGGAAATGCAGGTGAGCTCCAGGCCGGGGGCTGTGGGAAGGTGTTTGCCCCTCCAAGCGCGTGTTGCCGCTCTGTTGAATTTAGGCTCGACGGCTGTCCCGAGCGCCCGATTCCTGGACGGTCACGGTTTGGGGTCGGTTGCAGCTGCTTTGGTTTTGTCCCAGCCTGTGTGGTGACGCCGCGCCGCCTGTGTGGTGGTTGCTGCTGCTGTCTTACCCCTCCTGCAGCCGGCGGGTGATGCCGGGGCCACCGGAGAGAGCTTCTGTGGGATCTAGGAGCGTTGTCCCGTCCCTTTTTGGCACGCAGCAGGAGCGAAGGCAGGGCTCGAGCAGGGCTCATTTACCGAGCTGTTTCGCATCTCTTCCAGGCTATGGAAGTGAACAACACAACGGCAGAAACCCTGTACAACGGCACGAGCGGAGACCTGCTGACTTCCAACGACAGCCTCCCTCCGAACACTCCCATCAACCAGAATGTCAGCCTGCATCAGGCCTCTCTGGGTAGCTGCTCCCAGGACTTCTCCCTCTTCAGCTCAGAAATTGAAAGCCCCTCCATGGCTGGCAGCTCGGCCCTGCTCCAGCTGGCGCCGGACAACTCCACGGGGCTCAACACCACCTTCGGCTCCACCAACTTGAGCGGCATCTTCTTCCCTCCGCAGTTGAACAGCACAGTCAATGAGACGGCTGGCCCCGAGCTGCCAGACCCGCTGGGAGGTCTTCTGGACGAAGCCATGCTTGACGAGATCAGCTTGATGGACTTGGCCATTGAAGAAGGTTTCAACCCAGTGCAGGCCTCGCAGCTGGAAGAGGAGTTTGATTCCGACTCAGGTCTTTCTCTGGATTCTGGCCACAGTCCTGCTTCTCTGAGCAGCTCGGAAGCCTCTTCCTCCTCTTCCTCTTCCTCCTCGTCCTCTTCCTCCTCCTCGTTTTCTGAGGAAGGAGCTGTCGGCTACAGCTCAGACTCTGAAAATGTGGACTTTGAAGAAGCAGAAGGGGCGGTTGGATACCAGCCAGAGTACAGCAAGTTCTGCCGCATGAGCTACCAGGATCCGTCGCAGCTCCATTACTTGCCTTACCTGGAGCACGTTGGCCACAACCACACTTATAACATGGCGCCGGGGGCCCTGGATCCCGAGGAGCCCAAACTGCCCAGCGCGGGGAAGAAGAGCAGCAAGGAGAAGCCGTCCGAGTTCCTGGATAAGCAGATGAGCAGGGACGAGCATCGAGCCAGAGCCATGAAGATCCCTTTCACCAACGACAAGATCATCAACCTGCCCGTGGAGGAGTTCAACGAGCTCCTCTCCAAGTACCAGCTCAGCGAGGCGCAGCTGAGCCTGATCCGCGACATCCGGAGACGAGGCAAGAACAAGATGGCTGCCCAGAACTGCCGCAAGAGGAAACTGGACACCATCCTGAACTTGGAACGGGACGTCGAGGACTTGCAACGGGACAAGTCCAAACTGCTCAGGGAGAAGGTAGAATTCCTCAAATCCATCCGTCAGATGAAGCAAAAGGTGCAGAACCTCTACCAGGAAGTGTTCGGCCGCCTGCGGGACGAGAACGGCCAGCCCTACTCCCCCATACTCCCCCAGCCAGTACGCCCTGCAGTATGCCAGCGACGGCAGCGTCATTTTGATACCTCGCGCCATGGCTGACCAGCAGGTCCGGCGGCAGGAGCGGAAACAGAAGGACCGGAGGAAGTGAAGGGATGGCGACGCAGGAGGAGTGGGACACTCGCTCAAGTGAGAACTGGAGAAGGGCTGAGCCTGGAAGTACTTAGAGGAACTTTCATGCCTTCTTATCCGATATATCTTCTCAAAAAAAAAAAAAAATACAAACACAAACCCCACAAACGTGACTGCTGCCGGTCAGTGTACGGGAGAGACTGCGGGACCTGCAGGCTGAGTTTTTGAGGGCTCCCTGCGGGGAGGGCTGGGGAGCGAGCGGACCCTGCACTGGCGAGCCCGGCGCCTTCCACAACCTGGAATCCTTTGAGTGCAGGAAACGAGCTGGCATCGCTGGTGGTGAGATTGGCAGAGGTGGAAAAACTACTGTTAGGAACTGGCTTTAAATAAGAAAAGAGATTTAAGCAAATGAACTTAAAACAAGTTATAGGAGAGACGTTTTTCTGAACTTCCAAAGTTCTGTGATTTCAGGTA